TCTTTGCAGGTGACTTGGTTCGAATGGTTGTGTAAAATGCCACAACAGTAGATATAGCCATTCCCAATGTATTCCAGCATAGGATAAAGGAATGGAGATTTGTAAATCAATAAAACATAAATACACAGAGAGAATGAAAGCAGCCACTTAATTTGAATTTTGCTTTTAAAAATTGTGAACTAACAATTCCATCACTATAAATATTTCAGTGGCTTCTTTTAGAACTTGTATTCTATTTCCCTCTCCTTTTTTTCTATTCAGTCCACCTGTTCTTTCAAGATAAAATGTGGTTTTTCAAGTGACTGGTACATTGTTTCTTAGATTAGCTTTCTTACATTAGCCTGTAACATGTAGTGACTTGAAATTGAGTAAAAAGTGGCACATGCACATTGATTCCACCTATTGTTATTCTCAACATTAATGTACTGCAGTCATATGAAAAATCTTAAAAGAACTGTTCTCATTCACATATATCTCAGTCTGGTCCAGGGTCATCCTTTAGTAAATCTTGGATCAGGCACAGAATTCTTCTTTAAGTGGAGTGAATGCAGTTCTGTCGTTTATGTGGAAGCGTAAGGAAAATAAGGGGCCATCCATTCTTTCTACTCAGTTTTCAAAGTTTGTACTCTTAGACAAATGCCTGAAGAAATCTTAAGTTCTACTCTTCTGAGTGGTGCAAAGAATTAAAAAGGGAGCTAATGAATACAACATCGTTCTGGGGATAAAAGCTGCTCAAGAAGCAGGCATGAGCCATCTAAAATGCTTATATTGGACAACTTTTTAGCACTGCTTTTGTTGATAATCAGCATCTCAATTTTTTTCATCTATAGATGATGTGTCAATGCTTGCTTGAGAATAAATGTAGAACACCTGATGGACACAATAATGATGTTTAATTTTTATATGAATGCTATATAGAAGGCATAATACAAGACTAATGAAATTTCCACCCCCAAACTATCATGTTTTCCTGAAAATAAGACTGGGTCTTATTTTCTTTTGACCCCCAAAATAAGCGCTTGGCCTTATTTTCGGGGAGGTCTTACTTTTTCTCCATGTACCAGGAGGTGGGGGGAGCAGGGGGGGAAGCTGTCCCTCTTACCGGCAGCTTGGTCCGCGGAACAGTTGATTGGCGGGTGACCTTCTGCCGCCGCCTCCTCAAAGAATCCCGGCCGCTCTTGCAGCCGATTGAGGCCCCACGCGCCTTATGCCCCCTTCAAGAACAGTCTTGCCTCAATCAGCTGCAATGGCCTAAGTTCTTGGCGTGCGCCAGCCTCTGCCTGTCTTGCTTGTTGGCCCTGCTGCTGCTGGGCCACTTTTGGCCACTGGCAGCCGAGCGGCTGCCTATGCTGCTTCTGGCCTCATAGGGGCTCTTCGCCTTCCTGGCAGCGCTGCTTTCGGCCGTCCTGCTGGGCTGCTCCTGCTGATGTGGGGCGAGTTGTCTCACAGTTAATAGTCTTAAGCTTATAATACCTAAATACAATTGAATCTTCATGTCACTGTGCTTTGACATCTTACTCTCCATAGTCCTGGAAGACATTCAGCAAGTTTTCTTACATTAACATTTATTGTAGCCGGATTTTTGCAATCACTTGTAAAAGATACCTGCAATAATACCTATGTGATTTCTTCTAGATGGCTTTAGCTGCTCCTCCTAATATTTGACTATAATAATACAGTATAAATGATATTTAGCTAGATTTCCATTTGCTAATGTTTTTGTATGTTCTTTCTCTCCCTCTCTGCAAATTGTGATATTTAATTATTTTTTATTTTGGGGGTTTGTTGATGATGTTAATAACTGACTTATAAACATAAATTATTGGCAGTCAGGTTCATTAGAAAGAGACTGCTCAACTAAAGCTGGAGTTCAGAATCCAGAGTAAAGTAGTCATTTATAATTTCTGGGCAAGAAATAGCGAACTAAAGACAGCTTGCTAAAAGTGAAGCCAATGGACTCTGGTGAAATGATGAGCTGATGAGTAGACTGGCTCTTCATAATTTCTTTCCAGACAAAGAGAGGTCTTAAGATCACCCACAGATGTCCCAGTTGGTTGCTTCTCATGAAGAAACCTCAAGATGGGAGTAGCAGTGCAGAAGAAATTGTGTTGCATGGGTCTAACTCAAAGGCTAGGCTTAGAGTTGTCACTTGCCACATACAAGTTTCTCACTAGGTGTCAAACAATTGTCGCATACAAAAAGGGTCAATGCTTGCATATGAAAATCAATTTGGAAGTGTGGATAATGTTTGCTGTGTCAAAGTTGGTGTGAGTTCTGATGACTTGGAGAATAGAGGTTTCATATCTCATAGCTCTTCCTATATACTAATTATGAATATATTATTTGTTACATAGGTAGAGATAAATGGTTCTTTGTTTGCATAGTTAGAAATTTCAGTTTGGACTAATTGGGTGCAAATATTTTAAAAAATATGCCCACAGGGTTTTGGGGAACAGACTGGTATGTCTTGGAGGGGGGAGCAACTAGCAAACCAATTTTAATAATAATTTCCTTCAGTTTTGTGTATATTTCTATATAATGGAACGTGTGGATTACATTGGAGAACAAGGGGAAGAGATGCAGCCTAGGAATCATTCAGATGAGAGACTGGATCCTCGACACCCCCCCACCCCCCACCCGTGGCTTAACAGTCAGAGAAAGAAATTTAGGAAGGACCTGCCCTAATGGATCAAGCAGTTGAAACCAGAGGCAGGAAGTTGATACTTCCATATTTGAAAGATTCTGGTACTCTAGTCTTATAATAAAGTAGAATTTATTCATTTAGCCCTTTTTTCTGTCTGGTTTACATAGGAGGGCTGACGTTCTGGGACTCTTGTTATGCTGTTGGAAATAGGAATGCAGTCAACATTCAGTTATACCGTGATAACTTCAAATAACTTCATTTTTCACTGATTCCCCACTGTCTTTCAAATCCTTTGGTGCCATTCTGCATGTGATGTTCAGCATAGATTCAAGCAACTGTTTATAACCTATTGCTTCTCTTTGGAGATAGGGGAGGGAGGAAGCAGCTGTGGACACAGCCTGATAGTACAGTGGACTAAAGCACTGTTATTAACATCTGCTGCTTGCAATTACTGCAAGTTCAAATCTCACCAGGCTCAAGGTTGACTCAGCCTTCCATCCTTTCAAAGATAGGTAAAATGAGGACCCAGATTGTGGGGGCAATAAGCTGACTTTGTATAAATATACAAAAGTATGAAGGCTATTGCTTAACGCATTGTAAGCCACCCTGAGTCTCCGGAGAAGGGCGGCATATAAATTAAAAAAGCAAGCAAAGCAAAAGCAAGCATTCTTGTTCCCATTCAGCAGTTGAAAGTGTGAGGACTGGTCTTATCAAAATGTATGATTCTACCATTATAAAGAAGTTGCAGAAATTAGATCCACACGGGAGGTGTGCCAGGAAGGAACCATTGCTGTCCAAAAAGAAGAACAGGGCAAGGCAAGTTCATATCTTCTGGAACAGTCTGCTCTGGGCAGATGAGGCAAAGATAAACTTATTTGGCTACATGTTCGGTGAAAACCAAAGACAGCACATTTCCCTAGAAGAACCTGATACCAACCCAAAAGCATGTGGTAGAGATGTTATGGTTTGGGGCTATTTGGCTGCATCGGGACTTGGGCATCTGTCCATCACAGACTCCACTATTAATTCTTCATTGTATCAGAGGGTGCTTGAGGGTAGTGTGAGAACAACTGCCAGAAGACTGAAATTCAGCCGAAAGTGGACCTTGCAACATGTTTATTAAACATTGTTTATTAAACATTATAAAATGTTTATTAAACAATTTTACCACTAATCTGTGGTAAATTCCCCAAGAAATGGCTGGGGGGTGGGGGAGGAAATGAAGGATTTCTAGAAATGGATTGTATAGCTGAAAAGATCCTATATAGTGGAGTGGAGGGGGAAAAATCCCTCTTAATCAATGTCAGAGACTGATAGACAGTTGCAGTGTAAGACATATCTGGGCATTTTATAGCTCCCAGGCCACATCCGGCCCTTTGGCTGTCCCTGTCCGACCTGCCTGAGGGCAGTTGGAAGTTAGAAATCAAATGTAAATAAGTGAATATCATGCATGCAATACAACTGCATTACTTTTATTTTGAAGGCAACTGCTTTTTTTCCAGTTTACGTATGTGCGTGTGTATGTGCCTATGCACCTTCAGAGCCCTATTGGTTCACCCTTCCACAACAGTCCCAGTTTCTTATGTGGCCCCTTGGGAAAATTAATTGCCCACCCCTGGTATAAGATATGAGGTGTCAGAGGGAACAGTACCACGTACTGTTTCTGCCAAGGGGTGTCTTTATTTTTTCCACAGAAGGAAATGATATGTCTATTAATTTGTTGTTAAATAAATGATTGCAACAACTATTCTTCATAGTTTTTTTGTCCAATTAAATCACTTTTATTTTTATATACTGTTTGAATAAAGATAAAATATTACTATATCCACATGTGTTTGAAAAAAAACTCTACACAGGGCTACTTTTTCACGCGACTATGTCTGAATTATTTTCTGCTGTTGCTTTTTCGGTGTTTCTTGTTCTCTTGTTCCCCCGAAATAAGATATTTTTTCCTTGCTTTGGTGTATATCTTCATGTACTAATGATTGCTGTAGATATATTTTGAGAAGTTTGATTTGAAATTCAAGTCTTAAGCCTGGTAAGAAGGTTAGATAAATGAGATAGTGCTGCAGGCAAGCAGTTTAGTAGCTTTTATTATACATTAATGACTTTATTTTAGGCTCTCATTTAAGATGGACTACTGAAATGCTGCATTTCAGCTATTAAAAAGAATGTCTCCCCCCACCTTAATAAACATTTGTATTTGTGATGAAGTTAAGTAATGGCTAGCAATTCTGCTGCTATGTGTAGCTATTAAGTAGGATTGTATAATGTGCAGGTGTGTCTCAGAAAATATGTGAAAGGCATTGAAAGCTTCACAGAAGAAAATATACTTGTATTTCTTCTTTTTCCCCAGAACACATCAGTAATGGAGGATCAGAATGAAGATGAGTCTCCAAAGAAAAACACATTGTGGCAGGTAGGCTTGATTCAGATTTCCTTATATTTAATATTATTTTTAATAATTTACACAGTTACTGTAGAAACATTCTCTTTGATGCTGGTTTTATTTAGTATACTATTGAATAAGGAGCAGCTGTAAGAGCTTTTATTTTGCTAATACTAAACAAGACAGAATTGCTAAAAATATTTTCTTGATCACTGAGGCCCCAAGAAGCTCATCCAAAGTTCTTTATAGTTGTTTATTAGTCTGTTGTCCTAACTGATACGTTGATCCATACTATGGGTTCCTCATTTTTATGCCCACCTTCCTTACATTCCAGATTCTCTGCTTACATATTCTGAATTCCCTTCACTTTCTTTGATCCTTTTTCTTTTGTAGCTGATCTCATAGTTCTCTATAGTCACTAGGTGGTGCTGTAGGTACAGAAATAGAGATGTGTACTGCCTATATGAGAGACCATGAGCATTGCTGCCATTATTCATGTTCCAACATGAAGATTAATATCTGTGGAGATAAACATTCACTTGACACTTGATTTTTATTTTATTTTGTATTCACGTTGTAGAGATTGGAATTGTCTACCCAGACTGTACAGTACCAAACAAGGATGCTTAATTAGTCCTTGACTTTATATACGTCATACAAACAAACATTTATTGATTTGGTACATGATCTAATCCAGGGCTGTCAAACTCATGGCCCATGGGCCAGATGCATCATGCACTGGCCACGCCCACGCTCAGTTTAGCGAAGTGTGACGACGCGAGTTTGACACCCTTGATCTAATCCTTTCAGGCCTGGGTGGTTGTTTTTTTAATCAGAGCTTTTTTTTGTAAGTTCTTAGCAACAGTTTGCTTGTATAAAATTGTAAAATATTCTGGCAAATATTTGTATTTTGAATGATTGATTATCTGCCATCAAGTCGTTTTCAGTTCCTATCAACCAACAGAGCCATCCTTAACCTGTTCTTTCAAATCTCCCAATGGTGCCCTCATCTTCATCATAACTGAGTCCATCTATTTTGCTGTTGGTTGTCCTCTTCTTTGCATTCTTCCCACCTTTCTCAGCATCAGAGCCTTTTTCCAGAAAGCTGCATCTTCACATAATGTGTATGAAACTTTGCACAGTGTGTCAAAACTGACTTTGCATAAAAAGTCTGAAGTTTGTACTTTAGTACATAGTGAATGTTAGTAACAACTTGTTTAGCCACAGTTACTGTGATGAATACATAAGGTTTTTAATTACTGTCAAAGATTTTATTAAGAATAAAGTATTTATTCTGTATTTGGGGGAGGGGGGGTAGAATAAATCTAGCGACTATTTCAGTTGCTAACTTTTCTAATGAAAACCAGATGGAAACAAATATATAAAGAATGTATCAGGTGATAAGAAATTTCTCATTCAGGATTGGGAAAACAAGGCTACAAGTTGCTGTTTCTTGGAAGTGAATCAAACTGTTTAGACTAAACGTATCACGTGCAAAGTGTGAATAACTAAGCTTGATTAATATCTGCAATACAGTATTCTAAAAGTTAAAGAGGAAACATAATTTTTTTGTGTTTTTCATAAAACAGATAAGCAATGGAACTTCATCTGTAATAGTCTCAAGGAAACGACCATCTGAAGGAAATTACGAAAAGGAAAAAGACTTGTGTATTAAGTATTTTGACCAGTGGTCTGAATCAGATCAGGTTGAATTTGTGGAACACCTCATTTCACGAATGTGTCACTATCAGCATGGACATATTAATTCCTATTTAAAGCCCATGCTGCAAAGGGATTTTATCACTGCTTTACCAGGTAGGTTTTGTTGCATGTTGTAATGAAATGTAAAATAAAGCGGTTAGATTACATTACAAATTTAACAAATTTTATCACTAAAGGAACTATTATATGCTTTGTACTCCAGTCTGAATAATTGTGATGGCCACTGGATGCCAGTATTGTTCCATTTAAAAATAGATTTTGAACTGTGTGTTTTAAATGGAGTTGTTGCAAACTACTACATTAAGGCTTTCTCTAATTTTGAACCTTGACAAAGGATTTGGTTTATAGAGGATTGTACTCTATTGTACTTACCTGTGCTTTTCTTAGCTGCTATTGTAATCTCGTTTGGAAGTAAGGCAATCTCTCTGCTCTTTCAGCTGTTCTACTCAGGGTTTTTTGATCCCCCTCTCTGACTTTAAAATTTTACATCTGTTGTCGTTAGTATTCTGTTCTGCACTTTTGAAGACAAAAATGGTGTGTGGGATTAGTTGTTCAGAACACCCTAACACCCAGATTCTAAATAGTTACATGAAAATAAGTTCATTGTAGACCCTCCAACTCAGTCAAGCTGTGGAATGTATTTAGAAAACGGGAATCCCAAAACATGTCATTGTCCTCATATGAAACCTATAAACAAATCAGGAAGACACATTACAAACAAAATATGGTGAAACAGACTGGTTCCAGGTTGCAGAGGAGTGAGTCATACTCTCACTGTATACTCTCCCCTTAATTATTAAACCTATATGCTGACTTTATATTAAGAGAAACTAGATTGGAAGAAGATGAGCATGTTTTCAAAATGGAGAAAGAAACATCAATATTCTGTGGCATGACACTATTCTGCTAGCTGAAAAATGCAAGCTCTAGTAATAAAGTTGTCTCAAACTGTGAGCTGTGGGTGACGACGACTACTACTATTACTACTACTAATAATAATAATAATAACTGTTAAGTTTTTACCAGACTGTGAATCAAATTGAAGATTAAATCGATGATGATGACAACAATAATAACAACAACAGAAAGTAAGTGCCACCTATGCAAAGAAGCTGAAGAAACAGTGGACCACCTGGTAAGCTGCTGCAAGATGATTGCATAGATTGACTACAAGCAGTGGCATGGCAAAGTAGCAACAAAAGATGCATTGGAAGAAATACCATTTGCCTGTAAGCAAGAACTGGTGGGACCATGAAATAGAGAAAGTAATAGAAAATGAAGAAGTTAAATTGCTCTGGGACTTTAGAATTCAAACAGACAGGCATCTGCCACATAACACCCCGGATTTAACAATTGTCGATAAGAAAGAGAAAAAAGTCTGGATAGTGGATGTGGCAGTTCCTGGAGATGGTAGAAGAGAAGAGAAAGAATTGGAGAAGATAACAAAATATAAACACCTACAAATAGAAATAAAATAACTGTGGCAAAGGCAAGCCAGGGTAGTACCAATAGTAATAGGCTCTTTGGGTGCAATCCCAAAACAACTGGAGCAACACTTGAACATTTGCATTGACAAATTTGCCATCAGTCAATTACAGAAGGCGGCTTTACTTGGAACAGCTTCCATCCTGCAATGATATCTGTAACACCGTCAAATATCCAGATTTGCCTATCTCAGCTCCTTGATAAGGACTCAAAAGGTAGTAAAAATACCAAACCCAGTCTGAACATCTGGCTGACTGTGCGATGATTAATAATAATAATAATAATGATAATAATTATCAGTATAAGAACAAACAAGCCTTGCGGACTAATTCTGTGAAAGCAAAAATTCAACACGCCAATAACAACAGCAAGTGTTCCTTATGCAATGAGAAAGATGAAACAGTGGATATATTATCAGTGGCTGCAGCAAAGTCTCACAGACTGATTATCTACAATGTCATGACTGAGTTGTCAAAATTATACAATGGAAATTTTGCCAGAAGTTGGGTTGGAATGCAGCAAAAATTACTGGGAACATGAAGTTGAGAAAGTTCTTGAAAATGAAGAGGTCAAGAACTTGTGGAACTTTCGAATCCAAACAGATAAACATCTGGCACACAACAGACCTGATATCACTATTGTAGAAAAGAAAAAGCCTGGTTCATTGATATTGCAATACCAGGTGATGCACAAATTGAAGAGAAACAGCTGGGGAAAATAATGAAATATCACAATCTGCAAATTGAAGTTGAGCAATTGTGGAGGAAGAAATCAATGGTTGTACCAATAGTAATAGGAGCCCTTGGAGCATACACCAAAGGGTTGCCTAGATACATGGAAATTTTGAACTTTTTAGACCTGAATATACTGACTTTGCAAAAAAAACCAAAAAAACCCAACCCACCTTACTTGGAGCTGCCTATATATTCGGACGTTATCTTAACAGCTCTTAGGTCCTTAGTTAGGACTTGTTAACTTCTTACCAGTCCCAGACTGTGAATTGAATTGAAGATTAAATAAATCAATCAATCATCATCATCATCTGGCATGTTGTGTTCTAAATGACGATCCGTCTGGGACTTTGGAATACAGATGGTCATATAGAACACAACCCGCCAGATATCACAGTCGTCGAAAACCAAAGCGTACAATTTATTGATATCGCTGTACCAGGAGATGCCAGAATTGAATAAAAAGAACTAGAAAAAAATCATGAAATATTGCGACCTGGACATCGAAACTACACAGTTATGGATGAAATATGTGACAGTGATATCCATTGTCATCGGGGAACTTGGCACCATGTCCAAGAATTTTACAAAATACATCAAGAAATTACAGCTTCCTGCAATAACACCAGTGGAACTCAAAAAATTCTGCTACTCGGAACATCATACATTTTAAGAAGATACTTGGTCGATACCTAGGATGCTGGCAGCAAACCGTATCAACCATTAGCACCAGTCAATCGTATTTGTGACACATTTTTAAATGTTCAGTTGCCTGAGTTTCATTTATTTATTTATTTATTTATTTATTTATTGGTTCAATTTATATGCCGCCCTTCTCCGGAGACTCAGGGTAGCTTACAGTGCGTTAAGCAATAGCCTTCATACTTTTGTATATACCTGCTTAGTAGGGCTTTCAGGGCCCCCTAAGCAGTGTTCTTTTTTATACAAAGTCAGCTTATTGCCCCCACAATCCGGGTCCTCATTTTACCTACCTCGAAAGGATGGAAGGCTGAGTCAACCTTGAGCCTGGTGAGATTTGAACTTGCAGTAATTGCAGGCAGCTGGTGCTAGTTATCAGCACTTTAGTCTGCTACGCCACCAAGTCTCTTATTCATGTTTTATTCATTTTTAATGAATAAAAGAGATTAATAATGATACCACCTGCAAATAGAAATAGAATGATTGTGGCAAAAGACAGCAAAGGTAATACCAATAGTAATAACAGGATTAGAAGGGTCCTTGGAGTCTCCTAATCCAATTCCTGCTCAAGCAGAAAATCCTATATCATTTCAGATAAATAGGCACCTTGGATGCAATCTCAAAACAACTGGAGCACCACTTGAAGTCCATTAGCATTGATAAATTCACCATCAGTCAGTTGTAAAAAGCAACTTTATTCGGAACAGCTTACATCCTGCGAGAATGTCTCTAACACCATCAACATCCACATCTGCCTATCGTAGGTCCTTGGAAAGGACTCGATAGGTGGATAAAAACGCCAAATGCAATCTGAACATCTGGCTGACTATGCAATGAACCATAACAATAGTATCAAGAAGCATAGTAAAAATGGGACTAAAATTAAACGCAAAGAAGGCCAAATTAATCATAATAGGCACAACAAGCAAGCCTAGAATTATCAGTGAGGATATTGTAATGATAGACAATTTCTGCTTTTGGGAGTCAACCATCCTAAAACCAGCATTAAAAGACCTGAAGGACAGGTGATTAGGGACAGGTCATCTTGGAGAATATCTGTGTGGTTCAACACTGACTTGATGGCATATAATCAAATCAGTCAGGGCAGTTTGACATTCTTTGATTACATTCGTTGAAATGATTTTAAGTAATTGGCTTTTCTATGTCCCCTGAAATATCAGTTTATCATTAATATTGTTGTCACTCCTTCAATGATGCTTCAAAAAGAGAGAATGAACTGAAGAAAACCTTGTTTTTATTGACTTTCTGTAATATTCAGCCAATTATATAAGAATGATAATTGGATGAAGACTATGCTAGTGATTCATTCTCTCCACCTGTGTGCTGGCTTTTCATGATGGTTGCCATTAGTTTTTGATTCTGACTTTTAGGTCTCTTCATGCTATCTTCTTGCCTTGTTTATCTTTTTTCTCCCTATTGTATATAAGCTAGCTAGTTCACTGTTGCAATATTTGACTCTTAATTTTCTTTCCCCCACCCTAGTGCTCTTTCCATCACTTGGAACAAAAGCCATTTCTTTTATTTTCAGTACTTTCTTAATGATCCATTTCCTTCTCAGTCTATAATTTTTTATTAAACATTTTTCCTGACCTGCTGCTGCTTGATGTTCCCCAGATTCATCCCCGCTATCCGTCTTTAAACTTCTTACTTTTCTTTTCTTTGGCCTTCTCTATTTTTTCCTCTCTATATTATTAGCTGTCTGGTAGGGTTGTGCAAAATATTTTAAATTCAATACCGAGTACACGCCATTTGATGTTTATCTTACACTCAAAATGCATGTCCTGAATTCAAAATGCTGTCTAAGGGTTTGGTCACTCTGGAAGTATTTCAACTTCAGAATGGTTCTGTTTCGAATTTGGGAGTCATTCAAAATGATTTAAAAAGCTTGTTTCGAATGCAGAAGAATTGTTCTGAATTTGAAAAATGGGTTTCAAAGTTGAAACGCGATACAGTACTTTTTATTTAAAATGGTTCCACTTTGCAATGTGTATACCCATAATCTCTTGCATGGAATGCATTTAATTTTCTTTAAAGCCATGATGTATCTGCATTTTTTTAAAATGAATTTGATTTTCTTTTCCATATACATTTTTCAAATATATATAAAACTGCAAGTTGGGAAGGAAAGGCAGCACTGTTCCTTTTCCTTTCTTTTTC